CTTTTCCTTCTAGGACATGGAAGAGATGTTTTTAATGAAGTCAAGGATTCCTCCACATAACTGTTTCCCTCCAACAGGCTCTTCCAGTTCCTTACACATACAATATTAAGAAACTCAGATCTCTTCTATCATGAGAAGAACCTCTAGACTCCATGCCCAAAGCTTTGTAGGTACTGCCCACTTTCTATCCAGCCCCACAAAAGCCAAATTTCTTGCACTAATTGTTACCATCAGCTCTTTTCTCCATATTTTCACTTACCCTTTCACTTATCCTACATGTTGGCTTTTCCCCCCTGTAGAGGGGTTGAAATCACTTTAACCAAGGTCATAAATGCCAATTCATTGTTCACTAAAAACTGTAGGCATTTTTTTTTTTTTGTACCGGGGATCAAACTCAGGACCTTGTATTTTCAAGGCAGGCGGTGGAACCACTGAGCTAAATCCCCGGCCCAAAGCTGTAGATTAGTGCTTTTCTTCCTTAACTCTTTGACAGTCTTTTTTTTTTTTGGTACCGGGGATCGAACTCGGGTCCTTATGCTTGCGCAACAGGCGACGAAATCCCCGGCCCCTCTTTGACAGTCTTTACCCCTTTGACACTTCATCCTCTCTGAAGGTCTCAGGCTTCTATGTCATTAAACTTATGAAATTTTCTTTACCTCTCTGGATGCTCCATTGCCAACCTCTCTCCTTGTCTTTACTGAGAATGTATTCCTCAGTCTCTGCTTACTGTACACTCTCTTTCCAGGTTGTCTCACCCCCTCCTGTGGCTTCAATTATGAATCAATCTTGAACCTTTTCTGTCTAGCTCTGACCTCTTCTCTGAGTTTCAGGCTGATATTGCCTCCATTTCAAGTGGATATCATGTGGATGTCTTAAAATTAGTCTGTCAAAAATATAACTCATTAGGGGCGGGGAATTTAGCTCAGTGGTTTCGCCGCCTGCTGCACAAGTGCAAGGACCCGAGTTCGATCCCCAGTACCAAAAAAAAAAATAATATATATATATATATATAACTCACTGGGCCGGGGATTTAGCTCAGTGGTTTCGCCACAAGTGCAAGGACCTGAGTTCGATCCCGGTACCAAAAAAACCCCCAAAACTCATTGTCTTCCTCCAAAATTGCATTTCCTTTTTCTATGCTCACCTCTAGCATTTGCAGGACTGTGGGGAAGAGCACAAATGGAGGTCCACATACCATAAGTCAAAGTAGTTGAAAGTTACCACTCAAACCAACTATTAAATTATGTCCTATCTTTTTACTTTGACAAATAAAACTTCGTAACAATCTACAAGATCAGATTTGAATTTAGAATTCTTATACTTCCTGGAGTTCCTGGTACCTTGAGGAGAGCTGACCCCCTGGCCCCAACTTCATTCTATACCCCTTCTTTTCCTATCTGGACTAGGTCTTGCACTGCAAGGGGTCTGGTGCTCATGATTTGAGCACCCATGGCCCACATTTCTGAGCTCTGCTCATATCATCCAAGCTTCATTTTCCTCTGTGTTCCTCCTGAATTGGCCAAGAGCCAACAGACAAGAAGGGTGGGCCTATAAAGAGGAATTCAAATTTGAGTTTATAAGGGCAAATCAAGAATAAGAGCCTGACCCTATGAAGAAGGCCAGTCATAGGGCTGGGAAAACAGAGTGAGGAAGTGGCCAGAGAAAGATCTGAGGCAATCCACTTTGGCTGGGCCTGAGGATGGCGAGTGCTGCCCCCTCAGAAAATGGTACCATCAGTCACCCAGTCACCTCAGCCAGGACAGCAGATATATCCTGGATACTCTATTCATTATTGCTCACAGTGAAGTGGTTAGTTTCTGTTTTCTTACTAAATAACTTGAATGAACTTCTGTTTATCTGCACTTCACACTATCATCCCTACTGGAGTGATTACAACAGTCTCAGTCTAACCCATCTCCTCAGTTCAGTCTTGTCTCCCTTGATTCATTTTCCCTACAGCTCTGAGTGAACTTTCAGAGCACAAACGTGATTATTCCATTAGAAACCATGTTTCTGCTTATTGCCTGTAGGAGTAAGTCCACGCTCCTTAGCACATCATTCACAATCTGGGCCAATCTGACACCTGTCGACACCCCTAGTCACACTGTTCACACCTCACTCTCAACACACTAATATAAATACCACAGACACCCCCACCCACACATATACTCACATAAATAATACACACTCGCACTATCAGAGATGCAGCAGAAATACACTCAGAAACCCATACCATACACACATTCGTACATACTGCATACACACATTCACACACTATCACAGACAGGAACTCACACAGACCCATATGTATACATTCACTCACACAACACACTCTCAAAGCACACACATTACCTCCTCTTCTTCTGCCCCTTTTTTTTAGCTGTACTGGAGATTGAGCCCAGGAGCTTCACACTTTGCTATATCCACAGGTCTTTTTAATTTTTTTTTGTTGTAAGACAAGGCTTGGTAAGTCACTAAGCTGTATAGGTTGGGCTCAAACTTATGATCCTCCTGCCTCAGCCTCTCAGAGTGCTGGGATTATGAGTGTGTGCCCCTGCTCCCAGTTCACAAACATTTTCTCTTATATACTTATGCATATTCTCACACACATACTCACACACACCCACATGCCTCAATCACTTCTATACCCACACCACACCCACACATTACAACACACACTTATATACACACATCCTCTCACACACATCACACATGGTCACATCCGGAGGTCGAGCTTTAGTTCTCATTCCTGCAATCCCCAAGAACAGACCTTTTTCCAAGCTACTCTTCCAACTGAAATGCTCATTTCTGCCTTCAGCACCAGCTGTCTGGATTCCCCTCCTCCAGAAATCCTTTCCTGATTTCTAAACTTGACAGTTCTGGAGTTGGAAAATCTGAAGTAGTCCAGGAATCCTTTGGCTTGCTTGGTTAGCCTGGGTGTAGGAAACCAGACTCGAGCTTCTTAAGATGAGATTTCTTAAATGTTGGGCCTCCCCCATTTATATTATTTTTGTTATCCTGTCTGTTGTCTCAGAATCATTAACTATACAACATCTAAAACATGTGGCGGGGGCGGGGTGGGGGGAGGTGACGCAAAGTCCCGAGTTTGATTTCCGGTACAACCCCCCCCAAAAAAAACCCAAAACAAAACAAAACACAAGGGGCCTATGTAATTGTGATTACTAGAGAGAAATTAAGACCGGCCCACTATAGCCAGGCTGGATGGCAGGGAACACTGTGGGTGGGGAGCAGAGGAGTAAGACAGCAGGGGAGGAACACAGACTTAGGACTCTAGTATCCTTGTGCAAAACCCAAAGTCTCAGTCAGAAATATGTCTGGTTTAGAATGAACCAGGGCCAGGGATTTAGCTCAGTGGTTTCGCCGCTTGCTATGCAAACTCAAGGACCCGAGTTCGATCCCCGGTACCAAATAAAAGATATTCCTAGTATATAGTTTAGGGCTGGGGATTTAGCTTAATGGTTTCACTGCCTGCTGTGCAAGCGCAAGGATCTGAGTTGGATCTCCGGTACCCCAAAAATATAAATAAATGAAGAATGAACCAAGTTCTAGTGATTCATTGTCTGCAGATTCCTTGGAGGGGATCTTTGCTTCTAGTGAAGCACTGAAGTCATGCAGTGGGTGTGCTGGCTGAGGGTAGAAGGGCAGGGCACCAGAGCCTGGGAGTAGCAATGATTAACATGAGCGAGGGGGGCGGACAACCGGGCTTGGGAACTCAGGAAGAGGGGTTTGGAGGAGGGTTATTAGTTTCAAATGCCATGCAGAGGTGGAGAAGGATGTGGCACGTAGGGAGCCACCCACAACTTTTCTAGAACAGCGGTGTCAGGGTCTGTTTGCCAAGCTGTAGAGGCTTAAATAGGCAGAGGCCAAAAGACCAAAGCCCTCTCAGGGAAGGGGTGAAAAGTTTGTGCCTGATGATGCACAGAGAGCAGGCCAGGCAGGGAAGGCGAGGTGCAGGTCTGTGACAGGGGTAGGTCATTGCAGAGGTGAGTAGGCACTGAGCACACGTGGAAAACGTCTGCCTTGGACAGGAAGGAGCACAGCCTTCTCCAGGACCAGAAGGATGTTATAGGGAAGGAAGAGGAGCAACAACCAGCAATGTTTCATCACCTGCTTACACCTTGTAACTTCACCAACATACTACATTGTGTCAGCCATAGACTCCTGTGGCCTCATCCTGGAAGCTTCCTGCCCCCTGAAATTCTCTACTTGGTAGCTCCAATACTGCCCACTGCCCACAGCTTCCCATTCTTCCAGCTCCTCTCTCCTTCCTGTCACCACACAGCTCTGTAGTCTTTTTTGCTTTCCTGCCTCTGGCCACTGACTCAGTCCCTATACTCAGGCCTAGCTCACAGTTGTCATTTCAGCTACTGTTCTGCAAACTGCAACTTCTTTGCCTGTACTTCTATTTCACCCTACTCTCTACATCTCCAACCCAAGGGCTTCTGTCACATCCCAACAATTCCTAGACCTTGGGTTTCAGTCTTAGTTCTTCTTCTCAGATTCTAGATGTGGGTTGTCAGTTGCCTTTCGGCCATCTCTAATTGGAGAGTAATGAGGGAGAAAGAAGGGGAGCTAATGGTGAGGGCTGGGGGAAGCTCAGGTCAGGGATGGAGTCAGGGTGGGGAGGCTGAGGGTTAGTGACATGTTGGACCCAGTAGGGCAGCACATTTGGATCCCAGAGCTGGGAAGTTCTTAGTCTATGATGCTGCTTGGAAGTTTGGTTGAGGGGAAGAGTGTGGGTAGGGGCTCCTACCATCAGGTGAGTGGGACTGGGGCCTAATTTTGCACTTGCATCCCTATTGTCCTGTGTGCTCATCTTCCCTTCACCTGATGGGGTCAGTGTTCCCCAAGTTCATTACTACAGGTATGTATGTCCTCTTTCCATGATTTCCTGAGACCCCAGCACTCTGAATCTCTCCTCTCTGCAGAGCCTCATGCTCCCCTCCCTGCTGTCCTTGAACCCAGCCTCTCATAGTTACCCTGGTGTTGGGCAGGGCCTGTTGCCACCTTGCCAAGCCCGTTGGTGAGCCCGCTGATGTTAATGCTGCCCGCCTGAGTCTTGATCGCAGACCTGAGTTCTTGATTCTCCTGAATGAGCCACACCAGCTTCTTTAGTTCCTCATTCTCTCGAACCAGCTTCTCTATTTGATGCCGAAGCCCTTCATAATTGGTGAGTAGAGACATACTCCAGGGCAGCAGAGAAGGTGCAGCCCACAGGAGGGCACTGCACCTGGATCGATGCCCAGGGCCCCGGGCCTTGCCCAAGAGGAAAGAGGGCACCAGAGTCTACAAGGCTGGCCCAGTGGGTCCTGGCTATTGTGAGGTCAGAGGCTGTCTCTCCTTGGCCTCTGCTCTAAAAGGCTCAGCTCTCTATGCCACTGGGCCAGTACATAGGCCCTGCCTTGCCTTGGAAAATCCTGATCCCTTGTCTATCTGGCCAGCTTCACTTTTGAGGTACTTGCTTTGCAAAGCCTCCATTCTCCACTGCAAGCTAATCTCTGTCTGCTCGGCAGGTGCCCTTTCCTTCGATTTTAGGGATGCCTGGATTTAACTTGCCAGCCTTCTTATGAGGATGCTTTGCCTTGGATATCTGGACACTGGCCCATGATTTCTTCTGATCCCAGGTACTTAGAGTCCTTCACTAGCTGCTGGCCCAGGGGTCCGTCATCTAAGAACCTGGCATCTGGCTTTCTTCAGCTTTGAGTTTCCGTTTCTGGTGACTCAGGTTCTCCTATTCTGAATCCCTGGTGGTGCTTCCTATGCTTCTGGATCTCTGCTCCCCAGATCCTTGAATTTTCCTGACAGTCCTTCAAGAACCCGAGACAGCATTGCTCATCTGGTTCTAAGAACTTAGGACTCCGGGTCTTCAGGGTACTACTCCCTTTTCTTAGGGCTATCTAAGGAGAACTCCATGGGCCTGACCTTAGGAGTCAACAGAGGTCGTATCCTCAGGACATCTACTGGCTCTGCTCCTGTGGGTATCTGCTCTCAAAGCTCTTCATGGGGCAGGAAGAGAGGGTGAAGTCCAGAAATAGGCTAGTGGGCAGACTCCTGGTAGAGGATGGAGATGAGGAAAGGGGAAAAGGCCAGCCAGGGCTGGAGTCAGTCTGAGTTCAGCATTCTACTTGGACCTCACAATGGGGCCCTGCTCCCCTTCTCTGATGACCGAGATTGTAATCCTGCCTGAGTTACTCTGGCCTCAGGGAGCAGAGTGCCTGGGGTTCAGGGCTGAGTTCTCTTTATTCTCCTTTCTAATTTGAGTAGCCAGGCATGGTGGTGCTCACCTGTAATCCCAGCACTCGGAAGGCTGAGGCAGGTGGATTGCCTTGAGTTTGAGGCCAGCCTGGATAACATGGTGAATTCAAAGTCAGCCTGAGTTACAGAGTAAGATCTTGTCTCAAAAAACAAAACAAGACGAAAACCTTTTCTAACTTGATAGAGTATCTCTGCTGGGCTTTTTCCAGCATACGAAAATGAGTTTATCTTACTCTTATCCCACCATTGGCCTCTCTTTGGGTTGATATCATGTGCTATAGCTATATATTATGTGTCCATTTCAATAATCTCTGGTGCTCAGGTGTTTGGTCAAATGCTAATCTAGACATTGCTGTGAGGGCATTTTGTAAATATAATTAACATTTATAAAATGCTGGCTTTAAGAAAATAACCTTCAATCATATGGGCAGGCCATATCCAATCAGTTGGATTGAAGAGCAGAAAATCTTGAGGGATTTTTTTGGGAGAAGAAGGAATTCTGCCTGAAGACTGCAACATAGAAATTCTGCTAGAGTTTCCACCCTGCCCTACAGACTTCAGACTTCCTGGCCCCCACAATTATAGTGGACCGATTCCTTAAAATAAATATCTTAATATAAAATAACTATGACTTATACACCATCTCTATTTCCCTCTGTAGAACTGCTTCCACAAATATATATTATATATATTAAAAATATATAATATATAATATATATTAAAAATATATATAATATATAATATATAAAACATATATATATAATCGGGCCAGGGATTTAGCCCAGTGGTTCCACCCTCTGCCTCGAAAGCGCGAGGTCCTGAGTTCAATCCCCAGTACTCCCTGCCCCCCCAAAATATATATGATTTTATGGTCTCATTGACTGTGCCAGCCATTATGTTAGGAACTAGGGTTTCTCATAAGCAGGCACTGTCCCTTATCCACCTTATGGTATAGTGGGGAGTGGCTGTGAACTGAATGATCACAGTGGTAAATGTCAAGTCACCCCCATGATGACTGTTGCCTAGGGGAGACATACAGTGCTGGGAGAAGCATATGGGTGGTTTAGGTCCAGGTAGGCCAAGAAGTGACAATTGAGGTGATTCAAGGAAGAGCATCAGCTGTGGGAAGAACATTCCAGGAGAGGGAACAGGCTGTGCAGAGGCCGTGGGGGAGTGTGCTCTGGTAACAGAACTGTGGGAATGGTAGAACTGAGAATGAGGAGAGTAGATGTTTGTGCTGGAGAAGGTGAAGAGTCTGGTGTGCGACAGGGGCTGACACTGACTTTCATCCCAAGGGCTGTCTTAGGGAGGGGAGTGGGCAACAAGTTGGAGGGAAAGTAGCTGCTGAGTGGTGCATAGTGCCACAGCAGTCACCCAAGCAAGTAAGTGACAAAGGTAGCCAGGATGCTGGTGGTGCTGGGCGGGTGGAGAAGGTGGACAGGGCTAAGTGGTTGGTGGTATGGGATGGAATGGCCTTGATGATGGCTTGGATATGGGGATAAGGTGAGGATGAAGGCAGCGATGGCCTTGCAGTTTCTGGCCTGGGTGGTGAAGCCACTGGTTATACCAACACAACAGGGAGGAAGACCAAGTTTAAAGCAGTCATCCTGAGCCAAGTGTCGGTGTGCTGCTGAGATCAGGAGGTCAGGGAGATATGTCAAGGAATCAGGAATGCTTTGGTTTCCTGTTGTGCATTTTGGAACCATCAGTTTCTGAGTGGCAACTGAAGCTGTACAAGAGGATGAGGTCACACAGGAACAGAAATAAATGAGAGAGGGCTGGGGATTTAGCTCAGTGGTCCGGCCGCCTGCCTCTCAAGAGCAAGGACCTGAGTTCCATCTTCCATACCAAAAAAAGAAAAGAAATAAATGAGAGAACAGGTGGCCCCTTGTGCCTTAAAGAGCCAGAACAAGACTGCAAAGGCCATAGAGTGAAAGGCCTTTGGGGATGGGCAGAAGACCTACGGAGATGTTGGGGACACTACACACAGAGGATTTTTTTTTTTTTTTGGTACCGGGGATTGAGCTCAGGTCCTTACGCTTGCAAGGCAGGCGGTGGAACCACTGAGCTAAATCCCCGGCCCAACAGAGGATGTTTTTGTTTTGTTTTTGTTTGTTTGTTTGGTTTTTTTTTGGTACCACGCATCAAACTCGGGTTCTTGCACGGCGAAACCACTGAGCTAAATCCCCGGCCCCACCAGAGGATGTTTTAAGGTTAGGAAGGTGATTTAATGATCAGATGAGATGGGACTGAAAAATGCATCAGCCCTGGGGACTTGGAAGTCATCGGTGACACACCAAACAGTTTGAGTGGAGTGATTTGACTAATTCCAGATCAGTGACCTTGACGAGTGAGTGGGAAGGTAAAGCAGAGGTGAATACATAACCCTTCCAGGGGCTTGGCTGTGCAAAGAAGAATGTGGGCAGAGCTGAGGCAGATCCTTCTTTCACCAGCCCCTTCCTCTCTTGGAGACTGGTGCCAGGGAAGAAGGTGGGCCTTGCAGCCTTGCCACCAGGCTTCCAGCCTCTCGTTAGAGTCACAGTACACAGAGGTGCCCCTAGAATGTTGAGCTGCAGTCGCTTTCCTATCTGTACTCACATGCATCTTCCTCTTCATTCCAATTTTTTTCTTTTCTTTTTTCATTCCTCTCTCCCTCCCTTCTTTTTTTTTTTTTTCTCTTTCTTTTTTAGTACTGGGGATTGAACCCAAGGGCTTCACACTGTGTTGTGGTTTGGGTCTAGATGTCTCCCCAAAGCCTCATGCAGTCATAGGTGGGGCCTTTTCAAAGGTGGCTGAATCTAGAGTGTGTGATGCTGGGATTCAGGCCATGTGATTACTAAACCAGTATACTGATTTATTTGGCACCACCCTAATCCCAGTTGTCCAGATAAAATAAAGGGGTAGAAAGATACTGTTAAAATTCCCTTGTTGCTTTTGCTACCATGTGGATGCCACGAACTGTTTCTCCTCTGTCACACCCTCTGCCATGTGCCACTCTGCCTTGAAGCTTGCCAAATTTGGAGCCAGTCAATTACAAACTGTGAGCTAAATAAACCCTTTCCTCTTTAACTTTGGGTGTTGGGTATTTTGTCTCATTAACGAGAGAGAAGCAACTAACACACTCTGAGACATCCCCTGCCACCTACCTTATTTTTTGAGACAGAATCTCTCTGAGTGATTAAGTTGCCCATACTTGGCTTGAACTTGGAATCCTCCTGCATTGGCCTCCCAGAGTGCTGGGATTACAGATATGTGCCACCACTCCTGGCTTGCAATTTTCTTTTTCTTTCTATTTTTTTTTTTCTTATCAATAAGTTTGTTGTGTTTTATGTACAAAGTGCCCTTTGTCATCCAAACTTAGTGGGTTTGAGTTTGGGATAAAGAGTAGGGAAAGTTTGGAGAACAATTCATCCAAAAGTTAAACCACATCCATTTGTATCAAGTGTGTGCGTGCGTGCGTGCGTGTGTGTGTGTGTGTGTGTGTGTGTGTGTCTAGGGGACGACAAGAGCCTGGGTAATGGATGGGATTGGGTTTCCCTGTGTTGGCTTCATTCCAGCTCATCCAGGCCCTGGGACAGCATTACTTGGGAGCAAGCCCAATTCTTGACTGGGCTGGTCAGGCCCGTAGGAATGACAAGAATCTCCCAGTTTCCACTCAGGGTTTGCATTTTGTTTTTTGGTTTTTTTTGGTCTCTGGGATCAAACTCGGGTCCTTGAGCTTGTGCAGCAGCAGGGTTTGCATTTTTCACAGACATCTTAGGAACTTACTGCAAATGAACGTAGGTGTTGTCCCACTTCCCTATGCTGAGTCAAGACTCCTTCTGGTCTTGGGTCACTACTTTTTATACAATTTGTCCCTATTCAAATTTGCTTCATTAGATTCAGCTCAGCATTCCAGCTTAGTGAAGACTTCAAGGGTCTTTGTTTTCCTCTTGGCTTAAGATTCTCTGCATGTTTAGCAAGCTTCCTTCT